AGTGTCTTGCATACCAAGCCCAACACTGGTTGATCACAGCTTGATTTAGCATCATTCCAGTTGATTTAAGTTTGCTGTTTATTCTGTTATTTTGGTTTTTCCCTGCTTATGGTGGAAAAACAATTTGCTTTTTAGGGCAATTCCTCCTGTTCTTCCATTTTTCAAACACTAATCCTGACCTCTGGGGAGCAGCCCCACCTCCTTGCATGTGGCTTTGCTCACTCCTCCATGGAGGAGCTCTGTGGGCTTTAGTGCATGTTTTGTCCAAGGGAAAATTAATTTAATTCACTCAACATCAGCCAGCACCTTCTGGTATGTGTGGGCAATGTGAGCAATCCCTGCACTCAGATGCAGAGGATATTTTAGCGGAAGTGTGTTGGTCTCTGATGCTTTCAGAAGTGATAAGGGGACTTCCATGAGGTCAGGACTTGGAATTTGGGACCTAAATCCAGATTAACTTCAGTTGTTGAGAGTACCTTCTCTATTAACCTGAATAGAATCAAGATTTTACTTTTTGCTTGTTCTACCAAGACTTTCTGCTCAGCTTTGAAGTCTGGAAGAATAAATCAAATTCAAAGAATGAACTTAATATTTTATCTCCAGTTCAAATGCTTGGGCTGAGTGGTGGTAATTAAGTGTGAGCCCACAGGTCAGTGAGTTTCTAAGTCATGGGCATGAGGCATTTTCTGCCCTTCTACTTGCTTCAGGAATTACACAGACCTGTTTAAATAACAACTACTGTTAGTTTTTTAGATCTTTTGTGCTTGTGTGCATTTGTATTTTGAGAGATAGCACTTAGGCATCAGGCAAAACCCAGACAGATACAAAGACAGCTTTTCTCATCCTTCCCACCCTGCTTTTAACCCGGAAGAAATGCTGTAGAAATCCATGGGCATCCAAGGCCAAGTGTGTGATAGAAAAAGCAGGTCTGTATTTTTTTTGGTCTAGCTTCCATCTTTTCTGCTGGAAGCTGGCATTAACTCGTGTTTTTCATAACTCCCAGTCAGACAGACTTATTTGGTAGCCTCCTCCATTGTGAGTTTTGGTGTTATTTCTACAACAGCCCACAGGGCAGGTATTACCCTTGACAAGTGAGTGGAGGCAGTGCCACTCAGCCATTCCTTTTTAATCTGCTAACCAGGGAAATGAGCCTTTCAAGTGCCTGACTTGCAGGAGGTCATCATTAGTCTGTCAAGGTATTCCTTTGCTGCCATCTTCTATAAACGTATTTGATATGGCAACTCCCAGTTACGCTGTTTTGAGCAGACAAGACGTACTGTTTATGAAAACAGACTTCTTAAAAGCAAGCTGTGGTGGTGGGAAAAGGAGGAGAGGTTGTTTACAATATTTTAAGCCAAACGGTTCCTTTGGCAGGAGGTTTTCTGTAACAAGTGAGAACAACAAGAATTAGCTCTCTCAGCACTTCAACAAGAAGAGATTTTTGTCTGTAATGAGAAGAATGAGACTTGTTTGACATAAACTACAAAACAACACAGCAAAGATGAAGAAGGAGGGCAGAAATACATTACTGAAGGTGAGAAGAAACAACTTCACTGCTCTACTGTGAATTCAAGATTCTTGCTCATTATAATGTATAATTACAGCTGGCATCATTCCAGAGGAGGGGTTGAAAGAAGGTAGGTCTTACCAACTGTGCTAAATCCTGCTGGGGAACTGACCACAGCAGCATCCCACCTGAGTCTGTGTAATCCAAAAGATTCCTGTTTTATTCTTCTGCACCAGGTCCTTCTTTATGCAGATATGCAAATTATCTTTGGACTCCTGAGATTTGAAAACTGATTAGAATTTTTATGTTCCTTCGTTAAGGGTAAAAATAGGCTATCCCAAGACAGACAGCCCCCCAAATTATACACTGATCTGAGAAAATGGGAATTTTTTGCCATTAAATGAACAACTTCTTTCAGCAACCATAGCTTGCTTGTGCCTCTTCTGAAGTCATTGCTGTCTGTCTGAAATTTTTAGCTGTTTAGTGAAAGATTTGGAGAAAAAGAGGCTCAGGGGAGACCTTACCACTCTCTACACTCCCTGAAAGAAGGTTGTGGCTCAATAGGGGTCAGTCTCTTCTCCCAGGTAACAAGTGCCTGGACCAGAGAAAATGGCTTCAGGTCACACCAGGGGAGGTTTAGTTTGGCTATTAGGAAAAATTTCTTCTCCAAAAGTGTTGTCAGGCATTGGAACAGGCTGCCCAGGGTCGTGGTGGAGTAACCATTCCTGGGGGTGTTTAAAGGATGTGTAAATGTGACACGTAGGGACATATTTTAGTGATGCACCTGGCAGTGCTGGGTTAAGGGTTGGACTCGATCCTTCAGGTATTTTCCAACCTAAATAATTTAGTGATTCTGTGATTCTGAGTCTTATCTGTGGGACTTTCCTTCTGTTTAGACACAACTGTGTACTGCTTATTAATATTTCATTTGTGCACATGCATGCTGCTAAGAGTGGGGCTTATCTATGCACAAAGAGGCTATTAATAACTGATCCTGTATGTACCTATTATTTGCCAGCATCTTATTACAGAAGCAATTATTTTTGCCCAATTCCACCCTGGTGCTACAGGCTCCACCCACTTACATTTATATTATCTCCATGCCAGCCCATAATTTTTTGATTATGCATATGAGAATAGCTAAGGAAATCAAGATGCCTAAGGATCTAAAAGCAACCAAATAATTTTCCTGAGAGTTTATGAAGAATTACTTGGAACTATTTATTCCTTTATTTTCTATTAGCAATACTATTTTCTTCCCTAGGGATACCTGGGGAAAGTAGAAATGTGAACATTTGCAGCTGGGTGCTGCCCAGAACTATTTGCATTTCACTGAACTTTATCTACAGTTTTTGGTGTAGACCCTGGTCTGTTATGAAGCCATGAAAAGGGTTAATGGGATTGTAATCAAAGATGGAAAACAAGGTTAGGTCTTCTAAGCAAAAAATGAGAATTATGTTGAAGTAAAGGTTTATGGGGTTATTCCTATTTGTAGAGGAGAAAACCATGCATGCCTTGTGTGAGCATATAGATATATATTTTTAAAAATGAGGTTATATGTGGTCTACTGGACTTTATTTTTTGTCCATATGATAAAAGATTTATTACAATCATCAGGAGGAAAATGAAGAGAGTTCTTGCAATTTCAGGTGTATGGTGTCAGGTTGGAAAACAGGGGTTTTTTTTGTTATTGTTGCATATTTTTCTCCTCAACACTGGTATGAACTTTAATTAAACCAGGTACCCATATGTTTACATAGAAAGACAAATAGCCTGTTTATTTCAGCAGGTGTTCAGCAAGCCACCAGCACAATCAATTAGATTAATCCCAGGAAATAAAACTGGAAATAAAGATGATATCTGAAATCATTTTTATTCATGGTTAGAGACCATGCAGATTCTTTTGACAAGTTGAAAAATCTTATGGGTGATGTTGAAAACTTCAATGTACAAGTGCTAATTCAATTTGAGGGCAAAAAAACCCTGTCTTGATAGAAGGGTTTCTGTAGAGATATTACAGGAATGGCAAACCCCCAAGCAATACAAAGGCAGCCTGAGTATTGTATGCTCATTACCTGAATTTTCAAACACTTAACAACTGTGAGAAGTATGAATATGCAAAACTTCCAGACTCTGACCAACGTTTTCCTTTTTCCCTTCAGTTCCTGGAATGAAAAAGCCAGTGGTTTATGTCAGTGCATATATCTACAACTGCCATTAGCTCAGTTTAAAGTTGCATATGATATAAGGTCACAGGTCTCTAACTCAGCAGAGCATTTAAGTAAATCAGCCTCTGCACCAGCTGCAGCACCTGAAATATGTGTGTGACTGCTCTGTTGAACTGGGGCTAAAATTTCAGTTCTTGTGTCTTCACAGCTGTTCTGCAGGGGAGATAAAAGGTGGACCTTGCATAGACAGCACGATATTAAGAATGGATTGAATAACAACTGTGGAGATTTAAAAATGCTAAAATGGGAACGAATTCTTGCCTTTAATACTGAAGATCCTAAACACTCCTCTCTAGAAGAAAAGAGAGACTTACAATGAATGTCTATATGAGGGAATGGTTTGAATAAGAATTGCCATCCCATGTGGAAGACCTCTTGACCTCCGTGAGGATTTCAGGGACTTGCTGCCAGGCGGAGTCTGAAGGCTGTGAAGGCAGTGTTAATTTGCCTAATTTTAAGTTCTGGGCCAGACCATGCAAGCTCTTGTTTGCATATCTAGTCCATTATGTCTGAATATTTTGTGGCAGCCTTTAATGACAGATAACATATCAGCCCTGATGCTGTAACTGGAAATGAGAAATACCACAAAGTGCACATCACACTTACACTGGCATTGTTGCTTGACCCTTATCTTTTGCTTTTTCTAATGTGAGCAGTGCCACAAAATATTGATAGACAAAAAACCCCCTGGGATTTCTGCGCAAGTCTTGGAGTCCTGTGCTTACTGATGAATGCTCAGAGCTTTAATATCTAATCTTGAACAAGGGTCTGTGTTTTTTCTTAAAAGCTAAAATCATGTTGCTATAAATAACACCAGACTCTGCAGGTTAAGGCTAACAGGTCAATAACAAATCTGTTTATATTAGATTGTCTCTTAAATATAAGGAAAGCATGTTCTGAAAATTAAGAAGCTGAAGAGTGGTGCATTAAAAAAGCAGTTGACACACAATTAATTCTTTTTACAGAATAAGTTTTTATTCTGTGTAGGCATTAAAGGATTTATTCTGGGCATTTTTTTTCCATGGTAATAATCATCTTTCCCCTCCTTGCTAATTCTTGCTGGTGCTGTTTGTGATTTCTCAGCTGGTTGAGTTCCTTGATTGCAGAATCATTTGGGTTGGAAAAGACCTCTAAGATCATCCAGCCCAACTGTTCCCCTGCCAAGCCCACCACTAAACCATACTTTAAAGTGCCTCTTCTACATGTCTTTTATGCACCTTTAGGGATGGTGACTCCACCACTTCCATGGACAGCCTGTTCCAGTTCTTGGCAACAGCTTTGGTGAAGAAATATTTCCTAATATCCAATCCCAGCCTTCCCTGACACAACCTGAGGCCATTTCATCTTGTCACCTGGGAGATGAGTGTCCCCCACCTGACTACAACCTCCTTTCAGGTAGCTGTGGAGGGTGGCAAGTAGATAAACATTCTAGGTTATGACAAAAGTTCTAGTTCATTCTAGGTGACAAAACATTCTTATGACAAAAGTTTTGGGGGTCCAAGCAAAGAGCTGGGAACAGCTGTGTTTTTTCCAAGCTCCCAAAGTCCAGTGTCTGGATGCTCACATTGCTGGGACCTCTTAGAGCATGTGTTTGCACCTTCTGTTCAGTCTGAATGCTCCTGTTGTCTTTCTGCGGAAACCAAAAGGCCAGTTGAGCACCTTGGGGTTGTGTTTCACTGTGGAGAGAGGTGGTGGTGTACCCTGGGAGCTGAGAAATTCCTTCTGGTCCTTAGTGTACACTAAATGACAGAGGAGGAGTGGAGGGGAATGTCACTGCAGTCTGGAAGTGTGGTTGTGATTTGAAAGGAGGCTTGCTAAAAGCACAGCTGCTCACTCCAGCATCTCCACTGTGAATTTTCTCAATGGAAATATTTTTTACTGGAATTTTTAATGTCTCCATAACTTTAATCTAAAATGCAAAAATCAGCTCAAGTTTCTGCTTAAATGTTGTCTAAAAGTGTGTACCTACTTGCCCACTGTAAATGTCTAATAACATAAGTATTAGCAAGCACATACACATTTTACTGAGCTCAAGAAATTAGATTATGAGAAAAGAAACCTGGTGGGTTTAGAGCACTAAATAATTTGTAAAAAAAGCATCTGGAGAATGAAAAGCATGGGGGAGGAATGGTGTTACTTTTATGTGCCCAAGGTTCAGAGCATGCCTCAGTCTGAACTATGGTGGGCACTGCTGACTACTGAGGGATTTAAGGTTTTAGCTGCTGAGTGGCTTCCTAGCTGAGAAGTGACAAGTAAAATGAGTAGTAATCAATATGCTGCTGCTTTCTGCAGTTGCATGCATTTCCTAATAATTCAAATTTCTGCATGGCTGTCATTGCTAAAGAGGACCAGAAAAAAAGGGCTCGTGAGAATAAATGAAGCATCCTATTGCTTCAGACTGTGCTATGTCTGACTTGAGCAAAGAGTCTTGGTGTTAACTCTCTAGCTTTCCTCTTGCATAAGAAGGCTGGCTCTGTACTTTGGCATGCTGAATAGAAAATTAAAAATGCAGGCCAGTCTTCGGGAACATTTTACTTACTGTTTTAATAAACTTTTGTTTATGCCTAGAGGTGCCATTAAATTACCAGCCAGACATTAATATCCAGTACACAAGGGATCTTGTATATAAGCAATGATTATTGCTGTGTGACTCAGATGGAGCTTGCTGTGCACCCAGAGAGCTGCTGGACGGGAGGTGAACAGGGAATTCCTGTCTGGATGGAGAGTGCTGCTGCTTAGGCAGTACTGGATGTGCCAGTGGCTTGGGCAAGCTAAGAGGAAGGCCATTTTCCCAGAGCAGGAGCATGACTCAAGGGGACAGTGGTCTGTCATGGTAGAAACATCTCTGCTTTGTTTCACAAAATAACAGAAGGCAAGCACACAGTGTGGATAATCCTGGAGCTAAAGGTACCAAGAAATTTTAAGCTGCCTATTACTCTGGACCACTTTAAAAAAGAAGTCTTATTCCCCCACCAAGCAGCTGCTGATTCTGGCTGTGCAGGGTTGCTGGAAATGGTTAATTCCAACATGGCTTTCTTTCTATGCCACTGTCTCCAGAGTGAGAACAGCACCTACAGAAGCAAAGACTTCAAGAATGAGCTGGAGTTAAATGTGGGCTAAGGGCACCACACTGGGCAGCCTCTGAGTAACAGGGTGGAGAGGTAAAATCAGGGTGCTGTGCCTTGCTGCAGGTCTTGTGATTGCCTCCTTCCACAGACAGGTACAACATCAAATGCAGGAGTGTTGTAAGTTCATCTAGAAGGAAGAAATTCAAAATCCCTCCAGCTCCTGAAAAAATGTATGCCAATTAATTCTGAATTGGGATTTTCCTTTACATTTGATCTACTTAAGAATGCACCACAAGGAAAGCTTCCTATGAGGAAAGCTTAGAAATGCTCTCAGGGAAAAGGCACCATCATAACTCTCCCACTTCCTAAAGGGATCAGGGTAGAGCTCTGCTTAATGCACATCTTCTAAAGGAAATATAAGGCCTCATACAGCCTCTTTAGGTTCTGCTGAAAAAAACCCAACCAGATGATCCCTCCCCATCTCTACTCGAACTTCCCTACTGCACTTGCTGACTGACTTGTACCTCCTAAAAAGATAAATTGGTTCCTTCCCTCACTGCAGCTCAAGGGTGTGGCATTAAAGCCACTTACACGGAAGGGAATGGGGGAGATTGGATGAGACCTGTGAAATGAACAGTACAGAATTGCCCAAGCATGGCTTGTGTGGCACAAGCTGGATAGATGTCAGGCAGTGCTGCTTGGAAATCTTTGTCAGGCCCTGTTTATGTTGTAGGAATATTCCAGTTTGACAAAAGAATAATTCTTTTCTTTTCCAGGAGTAGACCTATTCAGTGATGTCCTGGTGCAGGTGTGGGGCAGATGCTGAACATGAGAGAGGGTTTAGCAGCTGTGTTTGCTGGCCAAAAAAAAAGCCAGTGGGGGATATTTGAGCTCTGGGTGTGACAGAGGAGTAAAAGTCTTGTCTCGTGGTTAGTGAGGCAGCAGTAAGGGAAATGAATTCACAGTGGAAGGAGAGCAGCAGGGCAGGAGGCTTGGATAAAAATGGCTTTCCCTTCAGGTGCTGTTTACCTTGGGATAGTTTGGATCCCAAAGCTCCTATCTCAGTGTCACATTAGTCCTCTGCTCCCCTTCCACCTCCTTCTCGTTGTTTAAATAAGCAGTCTGGGCTGAACACTTCTGGAATAGCAAATGCATCCAAAACTTTTGTCAGATAGTGCTGACTTCATGGTTTGTATCTGATTAACTGCCAAAGAACTGTGGCAGTCATGTTTCCCTCTATTTGATGGTTGGAGGGGTTGTGTTTGTTTCCATGGTTTTGTTTTTCATTTATGTCATTATTTGCCAGCAAAACACAATCATGTCTTTTGTTTTAGTTCAGCTTTATTTCCTTGTCCTCGTGTGATACTGTTTTAGGCACAAAGTGTCCCAGTTTTTTTTAATACTTCATAACTTATTAATGCTGCAGACTGTGGGATGAAGAGTTGTCAGCAACCTCATTTTTTATGTATTGACAGATATAATATCTCAATTGTTATTAAATAGATTTTAAAGGATTTCTTCCTCTCTGGTTATACTTTTCCTAATTATTTAACGTATTTCCCCATAGCTTATCTCCCTTCCTGGCTCCACGTTTTTTTTTCTTCTGCATCTGCTTTATCATTTGACATTTTTTTCACTTAAATGTGAACCTGATCAACACCAGACATATCAGACCCCATCTATTAATGTGCTCTCATGCACATCTCTAGGAAAGAGATGTGCATTATTTCCTCTCTAGGAAAGGATGTGTGGGAATATTCCAGGACATTTCAGGACTGAGACATGCAGCATTTGGAAGCACTCAGTGTTCCTGTGACATCACTTCCTAGTCCATTTAAAATCAAGGCCAGATAGGCTGGGATCAAATGAATATATTTGCAAACAGTGTGGAGTTTACTTCAGTGGAGGTAAATGATGGCACTGTCCAGTTTGGTGGCTGTAACTTTCCTGTGGAATGTACTTTGCTTTTCTCCAGACTGATGGAGTGCTGGGTCCTGGCCAGACACAGCAATGACCTGCAGAGGTCCAAGAGGTGTAACAACAGGTGCCAATGTTGAGAGGAAGTCAAAGTGACAAATCTCAGCAAGTGTAAAGCCTTCTCTGGCATTCTCCCTCAGGGAAGCTGGTGAATTGGCCCTGTTTCTTTGAATCTTCAAACTCTTTAGTAATATTAAAATCAAATGGGACAGATGCATGAGAAATAAGGCTCCACCTTCTTTCCAGGTAAGAGAATGAAAAATTTGCAGCATGGGCTGACCTTCCTTCTGGACATTCCAGAAGATTGAGCTGAAGCTCCTCAAAGCCAGCTTTCATCAACCTTAAGACAAACCTCCTAGAAACTTCTGGCAGATGATTTCTCTGATGGCTGCTCCTTCCAAACTCAACCTTTGTGACAGGTTCCTGATTTCAGCACTAGAGGGGCTGGGGTGACTGCTCTCCTCTTTCTGCTTTCTATAATTTACACACTCTTCCCATTATGAGTGGTTAATTATCTTAAAAGTATTAAAACAACATAAAACTTTTGCACCTGCACATCTGTGCATCCACACCCAGGAATAAATCCCCTGCTTCTCCCGTGTAAAAATGCAGCAAGCTTTTGTAGTGAAAATCCTCATGCTGTAGGTATTTTGGTATGATTATAATAATATTAGAAGGTCATTTTTGTAAGCATAACAGGGGGATACCTTCATATCTTTTTCTCCTTATCTCTGAAGTCTTTTATTTAATAGGTTAAATGCCGTTGTTCATTGTGAAATTATCCAGGGAAGCTATTTCCTGTTCTTGCTTTCATTTTTGTCTGGATTAAATATATACAGCTTTTCACAGTTTTTTTTTTGTGTTTTTTTTTGTTTTGTTTTGGTTTTTTTTTTTTGTTAGTTTTTGTCTCCTGCTTTTGAATTGCAGTTGAAGAAGCCCATAATTTGAATCAAGAGTAACAGCTTTATTATGCCAATAGCTTTTATTTTCCTTTTTAATTTTTTTTAATGCAGCCTTCTGAATACATTATAGCTTTGCTGTCTACTGGGAAACTGTATTTCTGTGAAAAAGTGCTAAACATGAAAATTTCTCTAAATTTATATGGTCTCTTGGCAGTCTAGGTGGAGAAGTAAGTCAAGAGAATAGAATGAGTGGAGCATCAGTAAACCAGGTTCTGTTTCTGGTAAGAACAAGCAAGTCCTAGGAAAGGGATCAGCAAAACCCCCACTTGTTGTCTTTTAAATTTTCTTCCTAATGCCTGAAATTATCTCATGAAAATTTCACACTGAGCTCTTAAGTAAAAGAAAAATCACTTATTTGTTGAATAACTAAATATGTAAGAGGACTTTTTATTACAAATTAAAAACATAAAAAGTATTCTGCATTTACTTTGTCCCCGGGAAAAAAAAAAGATCATAGCATTAGAATAAACCCAAAGATTCACAAAACCTTTAATCATCTCATAAACACACATATGTAAATGTGCTTTTCTAAATAAAAGTTAAGTCCCATTGAGTACTATTCTAGATTGAACTTGTACATAATTCCTGCTACTGCATTATGCTAAAGGTAGTAAGTCCTGCAGCTGGCAATACCTAAGCGATTAAAGGTATTCAATAATATTCACTAACAAGAACAAAAGATCCCGTGCAGATGCCTGAAGCAGTATAAGCACCTAGGCCAAGGCACAATAAAGACTTTGAAATTTCCTCTTCCACGAGGAAATCCAGCTACTGGGATCAGTACAGCAATCTCTTCCATTTTCTCTGAGAAAATCTGAGATCATGCCACTAAGTGCTTGTGAGAAGTATAAATGTGTTGTAAACCGCCTCCCATATATTTCCACTTTTTCTCCTCAACTTGCCTATTTATAATTAACACCTCTCTTTATCTTGTTCATTCTGAATATCTTTGTTCTTTTCAAGCTAAATTATTTAATACTATCTCTTCCTCTCATTTAAGCTCCCTTTATCTGGTGATCCCCTCTCCTTTATATTAAAATCTCTCCTGTCTAAACGCATAATCAGATGACATCTGCTACTCAGGGGCATGAAAATCCTTGCAGATTCAATGAAATTACTGTGCAGTTATCAGGCAGCGAGGTATGTGGTGCAGATCAGAGGCTGGGCACACAAAGGGAATGGGCTCAAATCACACAAGAGTGGTTGTTCAAAATGTGAAGCCCAGAAATGTCCAGCCCACTCCTGTATCTTTGCAGACATGAGATCCAGTCCCTGCTCAGAAGAACAGCCCTGTTGGTTTCAGCAGGCTACCTGTGAGAAACAAAGACCTGGTGCCACGTAGCTACACATGTCACAGAGCTTTTGTATTATGCAGAAGGAAGCACAAGAGCCTTTGGAGGCAGGAAAGCATCTGGAAGCCCCGAGGTATGTTTGCAGTTGAACAAAGATGAAAATTTGGTCATGTGAAATCAGAGAGAAGCTAAATTCTTGTTCCTGTACTATGTCTAAGCCACAGCTAAATGTACCCCAAAATGTTTTTGCACAATGTAACAGAGAATAAGCACACACATACCAGACCATTTCAGATCTGTTTGAGTCAGGGTGTTTATTAGAATATAAGTATTATCTGTACAGGAACATGAGGAGGAATGTGAAGTGTTGCAGGAGGCAGTTTTGGGTGACAGGACAGACATTGGATTGTCCCTCTCTAATAGGGACCAAATGCCTCCATATGGATGATAAATTCCCTGATAGCAACAGTGATGCTGCCTTGCAGACAGGTTTAGGATGTGTGAGTGTCCTGCCAATTATAAAATTCACATTTAGTGTTTTCTTCCCTTCTGCTCCACTTGGGTGGGACATGGCAGGGCTTACAGAGCTCCCTCTTGTTTAAAAGCAGGAACAGTTTCATCTATTTAATCTGAGAGGCGTATATGCTTACCACAGTCATACCAGGACAGCTTTAAAAAAAACAAACAAAAAACCCCCAAAAAACAGCTAAAATGTCTTTGTACAAGTCCTTCAACACACAGCTTAGAATACCTACATATAATTTTAAATATTACAGAAGCAGAGAGCCTCATGAACTGGGTATTTTGTAACTCAGATGGCAAAAGTTATTTATTACAAACTTCAGATCTCTTGGAAGAAAATTAAAGGCAAAGCATCCACTCAAAGCAACAGAGCCTCTTTAAAGCTTATATTTTTTTTATTTTGAGTGTAGAGAGAAGTTCTGGCATATCTAATCAAACCATTTGATTTTGGGGGCTTTTCTTGCTTGTTTGTGGTTTTTAGTATATATTTTCTTAATTGTTCTAAATGTAATACCCAGTGAGCTATCTCATCCTTCTTTAGAGAAGGAGAAACAAGCTTGGGAAGTTCACAGGAAGTGACCCTTTGGAGGGGAAATTGAGAAGCACCTTCTAGAGCCTAGGACTGAACCTGAGGTTTCTAACCTTTGCCAATTGGATCTGCTATGAGCAAATGTCTGAAACTTGTTGGCAAAATTAACTGGAATTAACTTGAACACTAAACAATATTAGAAATGTAGTATTAGTATCCACCTGCAAAGAGTGAGGGGCAGAATTACTACTGTGAAAAAAGTATGATGCAAAAGCAGGGTGAAGCTGCTGTCTTTATTGCATGATTGAATTTTTATAGCCAGACTGAGCAAGACTGATTTACCTGCCCCTTCTTTGCATCCCTCTGCAGCTTCTGCAGGAATTGATACTGCAGCATTTTCATTCACTATGAAATTCAGCTGCTTCTGAGTCCATAACTTTTCACCTAAAGAGATTATTTATTATTATGTTTTTTCCTGAATTATGCTGGATCTGCTCCTGCCTTCTAGCCCTGCTAGTGCATGTGAGGCCTCTGCATCCTGCAACTCATCAGCCTGGCTGGAACCACTAGGAACAGGGTGAAAAGTCTCCTTCCCATCTCTCTTAGGAGCTCCAGGACTATGTAGAAATTCACAAGAAAACTGCCAGGGAAGCCATGGACATCTGCCTGGTCTCCTGCTGTGTTCAGGTCAGAGGGCCTGTGCCCTTGCTGGTATGTGGCTTTCAGAGCCACACAGGGAAAGATGTACATGATCCATGAACGGTGCAGATGTCCTGGAACTAGGGCCACCTGTGAGTGAGTACCCACAGAGAGATTTAGTATAATTTATATGATAAACATTGACTGTACATCTTCATCTGATTTATCTCTCCTGCTCAGCAATCAAATCCTCCAAGTAATCAAATCCTACACTTGTTATAATCACAGCTTGCTTTAGATGAACACATTATGCATTTATTTTCTCCCCAAACAGCCAACCCGCAGTGGGTTGCACAGGGCAAGCACTGCAAGGTTTTGCAATCCGTCTCTCCCCCCTGAGAAGGGAGCAGGGATTCCAGCAAACTTCAGCAAAGCGGTGAGATGTTAACAATCCCGCTAAACCTCACAGTTTGGATCCGCTCGCGGGTGGGAGAAGGCACGTTCCCTCCCACATGCAAACACTTCGGCTCTGATGTATCCCTGTTTACAGCAGCGAAGCTCCCAGGACACGCAGGGCTACGCACATCCTGGAGATCAGCTGAGCTTTCAGCTATGAACATTTCCTTCCTCGGTAGCAGACAGCCCCGGCAGGGCTGTTCCTTGAAGCTCCAATACATCGGCAGAGACTGTGCAGGACGAAACTTGCCCGAAGTGTTCGGGAATGGCGCAGCAGAGAGGGAGAGCCCGGCGGGACGGGGCAGCGCCGGCGGGAGCCGCTGGAAGACACAGCATTCCTGCTTTCCCAGCTCCCTGCTCATGGATTCGCAGCTGGTGCCCGTGGCCGGGCAGGATGATGGATCCAGCGGGGAAGCGGGAATGGAAAGCGCGGCTGGAGCAGCAGGATGGGGTTCTAGGATACAGTTTTAATGGAAGTGGTTCTAGCACAGAGGTAAGCCAGGGAACCGCCCGCCGCTGGGAAGTGGCTGGCCCGGCTCGGGCGATGCTGTCGCCATGTCGCGACAGGGGCTGAGCAGGTGCCTTTGGCTCTGCCCAGAAAGGCAGGCGCTCGGTGGGAACTCCCAGGCGATCCCGATCCACGTGTGCCTGGCGGCGCGGCGCCGGGACGGGCGGCCGTGAGGGCACACCGCTAACAGCTACGTGAGGCGGCGGCGGCCGCCGCCCTCCCGGCGCTCCCGGCTCCCGCGGCTGCGGGGAGCGCCGCTGCCGCGTCAAGCGCCGGCCGTCACGCGGGCGCTGTAATGCACCAAAGCAGCGCGCACACCCGCCCCGCTGCCCGGCCCCGCCGGGACCGTGCCCGCGCTCTCCCCGACCCGCCCGGCGGCGGCAGCCACGGAGCTGTCCCGTTCCCGCCACCGCCACCCGCGGTGTCCGCCTCAGCAGGGAATGCGGGGCGGGGGCGGTCGGAGCCTGCGGGGGGCCCCGGCTGCTCGTAGCCGCGCGGGCGGCAGCGCGGGGCTGCGCGCCTATTCGGAGGTGCGTGGTAGCGATGGCGGCGGTGGGTGAGCCCTTCGCCGTCAGCGGATCCGGCTGGCCCTGCCGGCGGGCGGTGGGGCCGCGCCCCGCCCCGCGCCCGCAGCGGCCCCGAGCAGCCGAGCGGAACCGGACCGAGCCCGGCCGGAGCGGGCCGAGCCGCGCCGGGCGGAGCCGCGCCGGGCAGCGCCATGGGGCTGCTGGAGCGGCTGCGGAAGGAGTGGTTCATCCTCGGCATCGTGCTGGTCATCGCTGTGGCGCGGCTGGAGCCCGGCGTCGGCGTCAAAGGCGGTGAGTGCGGGCGCTGAGCCCCGGGACTCGGGCAACTCCCGGCGGCCGCGCTGCCCCGCGCCCGTCCCGCCCCTGAGGGGTCCCTGCCCTCGCTCGGCTCCTCTGCTTCCCTGCTTCCAGCCACGGCTCCTCAGGAACCCGGGGAATGCTCCCGCGTGGGTTCCCGTGTCTGTGCTCGGCGCTGTACCGGGGGCTGGAGGAGCGTCCTGCTCTTTTGGGAATAGGAGCGATGGGAGCCAAGCGGTGACTGGCTCCGAACGTGCTCCTGTTCAACTAAGTGACAACTTCAGAGCTGTGGGCATGGAGTCCCGCAGCTCAGGGTATGGATTTCTGCCGTCCGGGAGCTTCCCCGGCTGAAGCAGCGTTGTGGTAAACTCTCAGGTGCTGCGTCTCGGCCAGACCTTTCCTTTCGCTTTGTAGTAGAACATTTGTGTTTTAAAGCTTGGGATTTTTTTTTTTTATTTTTATTTTTTGTCTCGTTGTTGCTCCCTCTTTCTTTTTCATGGAAGATGGGGGGAAATAGGGAAACTGATCCTGTGGAAAGTGGTGGTGTAAAAAATGCGTACCCGGGGCAAAGCAGATCTATCCCTGCAGAGCTGGGAGGGCTTGTATGTTTCCCGGAACAAGGGCTGATGAAATAGCCACTGTTATTTAAACATAAACAATGTATCTTTACGTATAAACGCTGCAGTTGGTTCCTGGTCGCTTTCCTTTGGAACTTCAGCTCCAGACGTTCGCAGATTTCAAGAGCAAATTAAATGTTCTATTTCTTCTTCCTAGCTGTTCTCTAATGGCTTGAGAAAAGGGATGTAGAATATTTCAATAGAATTCTTCTAGCAGTTCCATGTTACGCGAGAGGAGATAGAATCTATCTGTGCTTTTATAGGCACAGGGTTTTTTTAAAAGTTGTTTTTTTTCTTCTTAACAGAGCTGAAGTGTGAGCATAGACAGCTTCTCACTGAGGAGCCAAACTTTTCCCACCTCTTAGGTTCTGGGAAAAAAAGAAAGTGATTTTAAAAAGTATGGCTCTGAACACACGCTGTGGAACTACGGCTCCAGTACTTCAGGGAGTTCAGGGCAGGCAAATTCCTGCTGTGCAAGGATCCCTCTGACATCGGTGTGCTGCCCTGCACGGGTGAACAGAGCCCACGTGGAGCTTCCTGCAGGATCCGTGCTGTGTTTTCTGCAGACCTTAGAGACCACTTGAAATTGATAGTATCAGGTGTTTTGTCCCTTTCTGCTTTCAGTGCCGTGCTAATTGTTAGCAGCCGTGTGGGAGGTCCTTTTAACTGGAATAGGAGGTAATTGTTCCTCGGCTCACTTCCTGCATGGAAGCACTATGATGGAGCACTTCGTTCAATTATCCTCCTGCAAAGAGACGTCAAGCTTTGACACTGTATTGTTCCCGGGACAACTTGCTTGAAAAATCTTGGAAGCATTGATTGAAAGTAGCGAGCGCATGTTCCCCGTAGTGGTATCCCCTCCTCTGAAACTATGGGATCTCAGTGCTCTGAGGAGGAAAAATATTTCTTTTTAAAAGCAGAAAGAGGTGAGGGGTGGGAAGTATCAACACATGAAAAAACCTCAGTTTGTCATCTAACAGCTGACAAAGCCATGCACGGTAATTTGCAGGGCTTTAGCGAATGGTATGGATGGTCCAGCATCCACAGCCGTGGAAGATTGTGCCATAAATAACAAAGATTTGTGTTGTTGTCACCTTCGTGACATAAGCCAAGCCATTTTTTTGTGTTTTCCTATTTGATAAATGAGCCCATTTAGTTCCTTTGTGAAAAGAATTTTTCTGTTGTGACCAGAGTTCCCTGTGCTCCTCGAGTGTGTGGTAGAGGCTTCTCCTGGGAAGAGGAGTTCAGGTAGCCCAGTGAAAAAACAGAAAAAAACTGAGTCCTGGAAGAACCCCTGTTTTAGCCAAATTAATCCACTGCCTCTCTGCTGTATGTGCATGTATGTAGAGACTCTAATCTTCTAAAGGATTAGAAAAAAGAGGTAATAGTGTCTGTAAAATATAGTTTTCTGTAGAGGTATATATATTTATATAATCTTTTGGGGCTTTTCCCCCCTCATCTATTCAGTTAACGTGCCAGAATTTTGCAACTAGTCATGGGCTTTGTTGCAACTGTGACTCTTGCATTTCCTGTCTTATTTTTACCTTAGTCTTCATATGTGTAGCTTTTGTTTGTTTGGGTTTTTTTTGTGTTTGGCAAACAGTTTTAATGTCTTGCCAGCAGAGTTCTCTCTGAGAGTAGAATTTGTGTTGAAATGACTGAAGATGCAAATTTCACTTGTACAATCAAGTCCCTCTGATTAAGGACCTTACTCCAGTGTGACCATCAATGTATCATTCATCCTGTGAGCAGAAGGGTTCTTCTCTTCTGCAGTGTTGAGTCAAGGCTGGCTTGTTTGCTGCTGCAGTTTTGCTCAGGACAACTTAGAATCACTTGTAGAGTGAGGATATTACCTTGGTCCTAAGTAGACTGCTAATATTTTCTTTCTAACCTAATATGTGGTTGAATGCTCATGAAAAAATGAGCACATACATTTCATGCCTGGTGGCCTCTGAAGGCAAAGTGTATTAAGAGAATTTGTCATTTTTATAGGAGGGTAGAAAAGACTATATTTTAATCTCCCTGAAAAAAGTATATAAATATACACAAATGTAAGCCTTCAATACAACCCTTGGTGGTGCAGGCATCTGCATCACCTTGCTGCTCTCGCTGCAGCAGTGTCTGAAATGCATTATTGTGGGGCTGAATGAACCATTTTGAACCATTTTCTGTTGTGAGTGGAATAACAGAATTGTATTGCCCCGAGAAAATCATTGCAAGGTGTGATTTGGGTTCTTCTGTGCAGGCAGCCAGACAGGTGTGTGTGTTATAGGGAAAGAAGTGAGAGGTAGCTGTGTGAGGGAAGTCAATGCCCTGTGAAGGCACCAGCTGGTGTTTTTATTGGAATGTATGGTTTGAGTTTGCTGATGCTGTAGGGATAGTCTGATGGCAGAACTGTGAAAGGCTCCCCATTTTCAAATTTCCAGGATTTGCCTGTGAGTTCCCAGTGGCCTCTAATTATGGAAATCAAATTTATATGATGATCTAACTCACTCTGCATACTCACTGGTTTACACTTATTTAAAAATGAATAGCATGCTTTCTGTAACTTGATAGAAATACCATTCTTTTTATTAGAGACTTTACTGATTAGACTTTCTCCAGCTATTTTTAAGTATTCTCATTTACTCTGATATAGTATATGCATATCATTATCTCTTTGACTGTAGTTCACTTTGTTCTCTATGTCTGTATTTTTTAGGACCCCTGAAACCAGAAATTACCATAACTTACATTGCTGTTTCAGCTATATTCTTTAACAGTGGACTCTCCTTAAAAACTGAGGTACTGTAATTTCTCATTTCTTCATTCCTGTCATGCTCTAAAAAAAATTTGTGTTCCTTTTGGTCAGATTTGAATGAAATGGGAATGGTGGTGGTACTGGGAGGATGGCCAGCAAGAGAAGATAAATGTTAGATGTTTAAGGAATAACCTTGATTTCAGAAAGTGCTTCACAAGGTGATGAAGGTGATGAGAGGGATAGTGTGAATAAATATCACCCATCCACAGAGGGTGGGTGGTTTGTCTCTGCACAGCTTTAACTAAATGGAAGTGATGAGCACAATTTGGAGACTGGATCTACACCCTGGTTGTGGCCCAAACCCAAATCAGGGTGAGATGCAGCTGTTCACTACTGGATTGATGGAAGCAAAGACCTGGTGGCCTTAAGGCACCTTGTTTGGTAGGGCCAGGGCAGCAGCCAGGATCAGCACAAAAGGGTTCCTGTGCAGATATAATGTCAATATACAAGGGAAAAATCTTGGCAATCTTTTCCCATAGGATTTTGTTGTGGACAGGTGGATTTGAGCTACCTACACTCTGCTGCATATCACAGGCACTGAGATTTGTTTAAAATTTTGTGTCACTTGTTATTCAAAGAGGAGCAGTCTGGGACTCAGAAGAGATGAAGGGGCCTGTAAAGGAATCATGGAGAAAGGAAATGATGGCTATGTGCCAAGAAGAGATGGAGCAGCCAGAGCTGAAATGAAACCCTGCACGTCTCTGCTAGTCTAGTCTTCTGATTCCTTTGTGCTGTGGACTAACAGGGGATGCTATTCATAAGTTGCATGATACTAATGCCTGAAAGAATCATCACAATTTTGTCCAGTTATCTCTTGGTGGACTGGGATTTGAGTGAACACTGTGCATTCAACAACAAAAAAAGTCTCTCCACCTGTGTCATGGTTATAGTGAACTTTCATCTCTTCAACTTTAATGGAAATAAGCTGTGGAGAGGCACTCTCTTCCACAGAGAAGAGAACTCAAAACACAAACCTGAGTAGTATTAATAGAGTGGAGTTTTCCTCTTTCAGGCTTAGGAATCTTTACATGCAGAGAAAAAAAAAATAATTTTTTTTTTCCCCCAAAAGCAGCTGTGAGAAATCAGTAGTATTGTCAAAGTCTTAATTAGATTCTCCATTCTAGTTTACATCTAACTTCTTCCAGTTAAGGTGATGTGACTGACAGTTTTCTGGGCAATGTGTCGTGTCTTACTTTGAACTTACATAACTTTTTTCTATCTATAGTATTAAAAGCAATAGATTGATGTAAATGAAGCTTTTACAGGAGCTTGTTTATGTCCAGGTAGCTGATCTCAGATTGTTTTGGGAGCAGCAGTTAGGGCTGGGGAAGTTATCCAGCTTCATGAAGAAGCTAGGCCTTTCCTGAATTTCTGCTGTGGAGGTAGAAGACAGAAGAAGAAAATAATTTCTCACATTGTATCTTGTGCTATTACTTTAAAAAGTGTATGTTCAAAACAATCCTTACATATGTTAGGTGGCCAGGTCATATTTTAAATAAAATACTTTGAGGCATATTTTAGTTGTTTAAGGCACAACCTAAAGTTGGTATTATTACTCAATATGTTTTTTTTATTGGATTGCAAAGTATATGGTTTTTGCTTTTGGATTTATTTGTTCTTGACCTGCGTATCAGCTGTTCTACCTTAGATACTGTATTAGTGAGATGGAAACTAGTGTTTGGTATGCTTTATGACAGGATGAAAACTTTGTAAGTGTTAACAGAGGCCTTCTGATAAATCTGACAAATTAGAAATAACTGATGCTCTTTTAAAGTTACGCTTCTGGTTTAATCTGCTGTGTAAGTGCATGCTCAAAAATTTTTGCTAGTGTGTCCAGAAAGCATTTTACAGAATAGTTTGCAACATTCAAGGAGAGCCTGCCTGTGCATGGCCTTGTTACACTTTCAGAACCAGAGGTGACCAAGGTCCTCTTACATTTGTAGAAATACTCAGTGTTCTCTGACAAGAACATTTCATTCCACCTTAATATAATGCTATTTCAGTTTGCACTGACTGGCTAGCTTGCTCTTTTAAAGCAAATACCTCCCATAGGGCTCCAGAAATTAAATCACATACTTGAGTTATCCATTTCAAGGAGGAATTTGGCAAGCCACTGAGAACACAGTTTGCTCTGTGTGGGTATTTGCTCAGAGGAGTCCAGCTGTGACTATTGGAAGAGTGGCTGGATGGCAACAGGGACCCACAGCAGCCAGGGAGAGGCTGGGATAAGCTCCCTAAAGGGTGTGAAATACTGGGGAAGACAAGGTAACCTGTTCTGCCTGGTGTGCAGAAACACAGTCCTAACTAGCAGCTTCCAGCAACTTTTTTGAGGTGGCAGATGTATTTTTGGATAAGCCCTTGTGAATTGTTTAGGAGGGTGAAGGCTGTTTGCCTCAGCTTTTATGCTGTGATCATCCAATCTAAGGCATAATATTATAATAATAAGTATTCTAAATAACTGTTACTATTCTCAAAGGCAATCACTGGAGACATTTTCAAGACTGGTAATTTAGATTGGCAAAGATTTGTTCCATCAATACAGCGTTCCTCCATGCAGTAGGTTGTATCACCTTTCCTGCTCCCTGGAAGTTACAATGAGGCTTGCTTTCTGTCTTGAGCTTTGGTTTTGGAAGTATCACAGAGTCTTCTTAAAACACTCTGGTTTTTAGGCATTTTCCAATTGTAAAAATAATAAATTAGAAGGGTATTCTGTATGTGAGATACAGATAGACAGATAGATACGTTTAATGCATCTGGAATGTCAGCTGGAGAATCCCAGAAAATTAGATTTTGAATAAGAGTGCCATCAGTTTTTTTGCATTGTTTACTTGAGAAAAGTGTGAGTTATTGTGAGAGAAAGGAAGAGGAATTTTTATTTTCAGACTGCAGGATTTGAAATGAATTGAAATGTGCAAGGTTTTTTGTTGTACTCAAAAACCTGTATAGAAGGTCCTTGAAATGCCTGAAAAGGCAGAAACAGAGAGACACAGAGCTAGCTGAAAAGTTTTTTTCTTTAAAGGTACTTGATCACCTCTCTGGAATGCTCTTACACTATTTAAAATTAAGCTTTTTGTTGTTGTTTTCTGAGTCTCCAGTGGTATTTTAGACTTCTCTGAAATTTATGGCTTAACAGTTTTTAGTTTGTTATGGTCTTGGTATTCTTTCTTTGTTATTCTTCATCAGCCAATTTTTTCTATAAATTTCATTTTGATACAATAAATAATCAAAGTCTGCTACTTTGCTTTTAGGGAAAAAATAACAAACATTAAAAAAACCCCAACACCACAAATGAATGGTTGGCAATACAAACATCCATACACTTTTTTTTTTTTTAAATATTTATAGTATAAATGAGAATCCCCATTTGTGGCTGTCTTTAGACAGAGGAACCTGAAATCATGTACTCACTACAAGTTTTCATGCCTCTTGATATCAAAAGTCAGTCAACAGCCATCAGTGCAGTTAACACAGGTTTTGAAGCTGTGACAAAGTGCTAAGGCTGCCTGCTGCAAAGCTGCTGTTTTGAGAGCTACACTATTATGGAAGTGGTGGACAACTCTTGTGGAAAAATGCCCAGGAGCAGACAGCTTTTATGTTGTCTGGATGTACTTCATTATTAAAGAGATCAGATGATCCCTAAAGGTGACTTTTTGACATGCACTCCTTTTGTATGATAAAGCTGGTCCTAGTTTTAAAAGCACAAACGTGATCTTACTTCAACTGTTATGACTGCAACTTCCTCTCTTCTTTTTGTTTTGCAGGAGCTGACAAGTGCTTTGATGCATGTGAAACTACACCTTTTTGTCCAGATTTTTACACTTGTGTTCTTCCCAACAGCAATATGGGTCTTTCTTCAGCTGTTATCAATCACACCTATAAATGAATGGCTTTTAAAAGGGTATGTTTAAGTATAATAGAGTGAAATATATTTGTAGCTGTTGTCTTAAAGGGCTGCTTATCCTGCAGCTGGTGTTTTGTTGTATTGTGAACAGATCTTGCTCGTTGCTTTTTGTGCTTCAGCACTTTGCTGTTGAAAACAAAGTACATGCTCAAGATTGTCCCTTCAGGAACCTGGTCCCATTCTCAGGTCTGGACAGTTTTATGTGTAGGGAGGTTGCAACAGGTTAGCTTTCTTTTTCACAAAACACAGCTGAAGTGATGTGTTTGGTCTCAAGGAAGGTGGGGAGGAAAGAAAAGGAATGCTGAAGGAAAAGCATAAATCAGTGAATAAATAGAGTATGCCACATTCTGGTCTTCTGTTTTTAAGTAGTATGTGTTGAGCATTTCTTGCATGAGTTCAGTATCTGCTTCCAGCTAAATTATGGGGGAAAAAAGAGCAAAGTTTTTGTGAGACAAGAACTTTGTGATGAGCAGAAACTAAGTTACCATGTGTGTAAAAACAGTGTGTTTTAAATCTTGCCAATGTGCAAAGCTGCATGGATGGTGTACTAGGGATAGATGCTATGTAAAAAAAATAGTTAAAAGGTGTTTTTTTTCTTGAAATGGGAGTCAATACTTGGTGCCATGCAGGTATACTGGAATGTTTGTTTGAATGTTAAAAATCAATTGTTTCAGAAAACTACTGAGAGATTCCCCTTTGTTTCTTATTGTTTGGTGAAACATGGCTTGGGGAGTTCCTTGTCTTAAAAGTTTAATGAAAAAGCTGCTCATGTTTATGTTTCTACAAGGCCTAAACCTAAAGGAGCATTTCATTTTGTTTGTAAGAGGCTTCTCCTCATGCTCCATCAGTGTTAATTGGTCCAAATGGTAGTGAAAAGGTGACACTGAGACATCAATTAAAAGTCAACACTTTTTTTGCTTAACAGCATCAGTAAAGCAAGGAAATGACAAGATTGATATATTATGTTCATTTGTATTTAGCTATTTGTAGTAAAGGGTATTCTTTAAAATAAAATAATTGTGAAGTTTTTTTCTCAGCTAGGAGAAGTACGTGATTTTCCACAGTAGCCAAAATTCTTTTGTAATCCATGGAGTTTCAGTTTCTGAAGTGCAAGGTGAAAAGGTTTTTGTAGGGTTTTTGGTTCCATGAAGCATGCCTCATTCCTTCTTTCCCATGAGTCTGTTGCATGCATGAGTGTAATTATATGTATATGCATGCACAGCTGTAAAACTGGTTGTAAAACTTGGGTTGTATGTATTTTTGTAAAGAAAAGAAATATTTATGCATTTATCTCTAAATGTGGAGCCTAAACCAGGCTCATTTGTCATGAGAGTGTGTCTGTGTCTTACTACTGAGCTGCTGTACTTCTGTATGCTTCAAGCTGCCTTTAAGCACTTGTTCCTTGAGTACTGCTTCTGATTTGGCTTTTTTATATTTTATCTTTTAGTGCTGTTAACTCTGTTGTATTGAGTCTTCATTGAAGGAATGATCAGATTGAGGGGTTTAATTAAGGTGGTTTGGTTGGGTTTTTTTAAGAGTGCTTTCTTGAGGAATACTGCCAGCCACTGCACTAGGAGCTGTACAGTGTGATGCAGGTGCAGAAGATACTGAGCTCTGTCCTAATTCTGTAATAACACATTTCAAAGTAGGTCCCTGTGACTGTGTTGTGGCAGCCCTGTGTAAACAAAAGTGCATCCTAATGCCCCACAGTTGTAGTTTTTATCCCTTAGAAACACTACAGTAGCTAAGAAAAATGGAAGGGAAGAAGACAGGTTTGGGAAAGTTACTTCCTTATCACACATTTAGCACAGCATGTGGAGGAGGCTGCTTGATAGCCCTCAAAAAGCCTGGAAAAACAGGCATGTGCTCCCAAGGGCATGCAGCACCCTTTGGCAGGGTGGCTCCCCTGGGCACTGCAGTTCTCCACTGCTCCCTGCACAAGGTTATGCCTGAAGGGCACAGCCCACAGAATCTTTTCCATCTTGCAGCAGAATGAAAGATTCTCCCATCCTCTCTAATGGTCAGTTTAGCTGTGTTATTTGGGAGGCAGATTTGGGTGGTATCAGGTTTTCACCTGTGTTTCTACAGCTGTGTGGGATTCTTTTCTTTCCCTTCCTCTCTCTTGGGGATAATATTAGGAAGGTTTTTTGCTTTGCAATTTTTTTAAAATTTATGAAATAGAGGAGAAACTGATATCCTCCCAAGCATCTTATAAGTTAATTCTTTTGTTAACTACTCAGGTTTTGCATTGACAACATCTATTTTAAAAGGAGCATGAAGCAGATTATTAATGTATGCACAGATTCACCTCTTCTCCACTTTTAGCATGTAGCATTTACAGCACAGGTGGTAAGGCATGAGATGCAAGGATTGGGTATAGGGTATGACTTTGGAGCTTTCATGTCCAAAACATGTGACTTCAGACTCTACTTCTCAGTTGTCTGTAGTGATAGGAGCAGAACAGCAAGTGTCTGGACCCCTGATGTTAGTAATCGTAGCGTGGCCTGCTCCAGTGGAATATGTGAGTTGGTTGGTTGTTATCTCTAGAAGTCTGTTGGCCATTAGAGGAATCTGTTTATGTGTTGGTAGAATTGTGTAGTTGATACAAACTGAAAAACAGTTTACCCCAGTGCATGTTTCAATACACTCAATCAAGAGGGTATCCTTTTAGTATGTAGCAGGGTTTTTTTTAGATTAATATTGCTTGATAGGGATTTTTATTTTTAATCCCAAATATGTTATTTTCAATTTGAGAGGGTTAACAGAGATTGTATGATTAAGTCTTTCCCTTATAGTATGGAAAATCCCTGCCAGCTGAGATGAATGCCCTTGCACATATTTTGTACCTGTCTGGATAACTCTGAATTTAATCCACTCCTTATTAGAGCAGGTGAGAAGTTTGAGGAGCTGCCTGCCACATAGGAGAGATAACAGTGTCACAGTGTAGGAGATGGACATCAGGATTGCCATGTGTTTGTTTGTCTGCTGTATATTTTCCTATATGTTTCCAAATATGTGTTTGTCTGCTGTATATTTTCCTATATGTTTCCAAACTTTCCTGCAGTTTCTTTTTCCTGTATTTCTTTTCAATGTTAGCTTATTCTGCCATGTGCTGACAACTCTCTGCTGCTTATTTCACATCAAGCTTGCTCTGTGCTTCCAAGGTGGTGCTTGGCACCTTGTGGTTGGATTTATATAATGCTTACATTGGTTGCCTCTTTCCTCTTCACAGAGTCTGTAGCTGACAGAGGGAATGCTGTCATTGTCACTTACCTGTTTCTTCTCTTTAAGCTTTTTGTATATTTGCAGAATATCAGTTGCACTGTAATGTGCACCCTTGTTCCTGGATTTAATACTTCTGCTTCCTGCAGCTTTTTGACACTGCCTTTTTCAGGGGTTCTACTGACAGGGTTATGAATGCAAAGTAGTTCACCACTAGTAATTGATTGTTCTGAATTAGAATCTCAAGCTCTGATACTTGAAAACATATGTAGATTCCACTCATTACTGTTCCTCCCAAGTCAACGCAGTTTTTCTTCAGAAGCCCTATTTTACTTAGCCCCAAATTTAATTTAATGTGCTGTGATTTTGTGGACTCTCTTTGGAAAAAAGGAAACTTCACCTCTTTTTTCTTACTTTGCAACAGCATTTACTGGGCACTTCAACTTTTGGGGATTTTGCAATCTGTTTTATTCCATTCATTACTGTTCCTTCCAAGTCAGCACAGTTTTTCTTCAGAAGCCCTATTTTACTTAGCCCTGAATTTATTTTTTGTGGATTGTCTTTGAAAACAAAGGAAATTTCACCACTTTTTTCTTACTTTGCAACAGCATTTACTGGGCACTTCAGTAACTTTGTTGCACAAACAATGCTAAAAATGACAATAATAATAGGGTATCTTGGATTTCTAAAGTGTAAGAGAAAGCTGTTGGTGCTTTGATGGCAGCCAGGTGATTTTATCTGGAAGCCTGTGATAGATGTATAGAGACCTTTGTGGATGAGAGCTGCAGTACTACAGATGGGGAAGTGGAGTCACAGAGAGGTTAAGTGCTTGTGCTTTTTGCATGGTGACATGACTTCATTGTGTTGACTGGTGAGAGATGGTGTAGAAATGCTGCCAGCAGGAGTGCCTTTCCTGGTGCAGGGCTGTAGCTGATTGCAAACTGATTGCACTGCACAGGTGATAAGACTTTCTACTTGGCTATCTGGTATTTTAAGGTAGCAGGTTGCTTAGTGTTTGCCTCCTGTAAGGAATTAACATTCTTTTTGTTGTTTTCAGCTTGCAGACAGTGGGCTGCATGCCACCTCCTGTGTCTTCTGCTGTAATTTTAACCAAAGCTGTTGGTGGAAATGAGGTGAGTTTGCATTTTGGCTTTTTTAAACAGGCATTCAAACAAGTATTTATTGATGATGAACTCAAGTGGCAAAGCACAGACAGAAATGTGATGCTACTGTGGTTTGTAAAGCATTCTGGAATTAGGGGTTGGGTGTTGACTTGGTGTCAAACAAGGAAAACAGTGATATGTCACATGCTGGCATTGGTGAAACTGAAAGAAACTCACTTTTCTGACGTGATACAAAGGTTCTGATAGAAATTAGTGTTGGGAGATTTTTGGTGGTTGCTACACTGCAAGTCCTAATGCTATGATGTTCCTGTGCTGTGCTGCAGTTATTGCATAGACCTACAGATTTGCAGTGAAGTTGTGCCCTTGCAGAGATTCTTTGGATGTGTTCAGTATTAAGAGGTCCTGTAGTAGGAGTTTCTCAAGCTTGAAATTGCAAATGTATCAAGTGACATGGCAATACAAACATGGATTTAAATCTTACATTGTTATTTGAGACTGCATGAAGTGAAAATTCAGGAAATGTGGAGTTCTCTGACGTGATGCAATGCAAAGTTCTCAACAGATAGGAAGTGCTGGAATAGAAATTGTTGGTGTAAACTCAGCTTGGTTGTGATAAATTTTTGCCTTAAAATGGCATATTCTGATGTAATTTCAGTTGGCAATACAAACATGGATTTAAATCTTAGATTATTTGAAACTGCATGAAGTGAAAAGTCAGGAAATGTGGAGTTCTCTGACAGTGGTGCAATGCAAAGTTCTCAACAGATAGGAAATGTTGGAATAGAAGTTTGTTGGTGTAAACTCAGCTTGATTGTGATAAATTTTTGCCTTAAAATGGCATATTCTGATGTAATTTCAGACTCTTTATCCACAAAGCACTTGCTGTTTTCAGGAAGGCCAGATAAATGACATTTAGGAAATTAATCCAGCTGTGCTAATTAATGAGCTTGTTCCCTTTAGATTTGCTTCCTTGTAGCTGCTGAAGGTGGAGAAGACCTGGTAGGTGAAGAAAGGAGGGAATTAACATTGACAGATGGGATTTACACCTGGGGCTGTTGGGTGTTATTCTGAAGGGTTAAAGGCAAATCTTAATTCAGCCATAGAACTCCTGTGTGAGGTTGGGTGGTTCACTTCAACCACATGTTTTAAATATGGCCATTAGTTGTGAACTTCTCATTTTCTGAGTTCAGGCTCTTGGGACCGATTAATGTCAGCTTTGAAAACACATGATAGCACTGAAAGAGATTGAAGTTGTACTTTGTACTGACAAAGTGCTGTTTAATTGCTTTATCCTCTGAAGAGAGACCCAAAGTATTTCAAGTCAACCATCTCTAATTATGGGCAATCCTGATGCACATCACTGTCTGCCAGTTTGCTGCCTTGAAAAAAGAACCATAAAATTGTCTGATGGAGGTGCTGGGGAGTAGTTACTATAAAGAAATAATTCAAGTACCTAACAGTGATCAACAGAGAAATGAGAGGTTTTCCAGTTATGATTCTACATGTAGATGCTGTAAATTACAGCAAGAGACCACATAGTGAACAGAGAGGAATAATTGAGTGAGTGCTCATTCAGCACTGTTTGTACTATCCTTAGAACAGGGTAAAGATCCTCTGGAAAAAAACACAGTAAGGTTGGTTGGTGGAAAGCCATCTAATACAGGAGGGAGAGAGGTACTTTAATTTCTTGATCATTAGAAAGCACTTTCTTATGGTAGTGTCTTTCAGGGTGGTGAGGGTGTGTGCATTTTATACCTGAAAAAGCTGAAGAATGGCTGCTTTCTATGACGTGATTGTATAAATCACTGACAAGGCAAGCTTTGAGCTCTGATTCTTCTGTGCCAAACTGGTGTTAGGGGAATGGAAAAATGCATACCCTCTAGTAAGTTTTACAGATAGTTGCTGACAGCAGAGAGAGTGAATCAAGAATTGGGCCTTGGGAATTGGGGGTTCTCAGTCAGGCTCTAAGAGAGTCTGTAAGGAAAAACTCTGTTTAAATAAGCTCAGTGTAGACAAAGCCTGTGGTGAGATTATTGCCAAACTTGAGCATGTTTCCAATGCAGGCATATTTTTGGAATTTGATGTTTCTTTGTTGTTCAGACTGGTTTTTCTTCTGAGGATGAGCAAATCACATCCCTTGTGCTGAGGGAGGAAAAGTTTCACATTTCTCCTTGCCAGACTTCACCTGAGCTGTTACTGATGTATTTCTTGCTCTGATATAAGCAGAACAGTGCATTTTTTCCCATTTTAGTTTGAGTCCACTCTGATATATGAAGAATTTAAACCTGGGAGTTAATTGGAAATACAAATGGTTGTACTGTGAGAGCATTTGTTTGTTATAATGTTTCTTAAACTGGTTTTTGCCTCAACAAATGTGTATCCCTTACCCAGAGAAATTGAGTTATCTGAGGATGTATCTACACTGCATAATGTGATATGAAGATAAATGAGCTTGCTCAGAAGGAATATAGCAAGGAAGCTCCATGTGAAGTAATTAGTCTGAGAAGTGTCCTGCTGCTGTAGAGTACAGGCACACCCTCAACAGCTGCTCTGAAGACCTTTTTGGATGTTTGAAACACAGCACTTAGGAGCTGTGGTGGTTGCCTGTGATATGACAGTGTAGAGGAGTTTAGGTTTCTTTGTCGAAGTAGAAGTGACTGTTAATTGTCAGTTTGGATTGGGGTATTCTCAAAGAAATATCAGGCCCTGTGTCATGGTAGAAGTAGTACCCCTGGGGCTGGGGAAGCATGGTCTTATTTTTAGTTCTCTCTCAGCCTTTTGGGTGAAACGGGGTGAGTTATTGTGTCTCTGGGGTTGGCTATGATGCACAATAGCACATTTGTGAAGTGTTTGAACATCAGTGCTGAAAAAAAATCTGATAAAAGATCTATATTTTATTGGCCTGGGACAGGGTAATTAAGTATTTGGTCAAGTGTTTCAAAAGTGACCTACATCATTGGAGGCTACTTGGGTGGTGGATTTTGCTGCACATTTATTGGAAAATTTGGTTGTGAGTTAATAAAAGGGAAACTTTTTCTTCTCTGTTTCTCCTTCACCCTGATTTCCATCATTGCTCCTGTGATCTTTTCCTGTGTTGCTTTCATTAACCCTGCAAGGAACTTTCTAAACCAGCCTATTCCTAAGTTTTAATGAACTAAGTGCACTTAGTTCATTAGCAAGGCCAGTTTCAAGTACTGAATATTGGTTTGATACATATGAAGGCCTGTATGAACAAAAGAAAGTTTCATGTGTTAACTGGTGACAAATGAGGAGGGATCACCATAGGAATGAAAATCTAATTATTAATTTGTTGATATTTTCTTAGTTACTTAGTTGTTTCTGTCAGTCAGTCTCATGTTTTGTGTAGAGGACAGTCCATGAAGCTAAAAGAAATGGGAATGAAAAGCAGAAGGTCTCATTTGTTCTTTGCTCTTGTGCTGTGAAGGGTCAGGATTTTAATGGTATAGCTTGACAGCACTGAAGGCTTTGTTATGTCATTTTTTTTCAACAAGTCTTGTAGTTTTTCATTGAAATTATAAAAACAATTTCTTTAAAATTCTGCAATAGAGACGAATAAATATGTCATCATTTCAAGGAACTGTTAAGACAAACCTATTAAAAGCTCAGAGATACTCAGACAGAAGTGCTGTAGAGATGGCAGATATTACTACAAAGTATTCAGTCAGCAAATGTCATACTCTCCTTAAGAATCAAAGTAATGAAGAAAAGAGATTGAAAATTAGATCTATAAGTCTATTATCAGTTTGGGAGAAAAAGCAATTTGTGATGACTTTTATGGAAGCTTAATGACATACTTTTGAAAAGTGTAACATAACAGGCAGGAGCTGTGATGGAATTGTACAGATAAATCGTGGCAGACAGCTCATTTTGTTGAAGAATACTTTGGTTATTTTGCTATCTCATACACCACACAACCACTGAGGATTTTTGTTATTGTTCATTTGAACCATAGCTTGTACAAAACCTCTTAATCAATGTGCTGCTTTTTTTTTTTCAACTTTAATGTGGCTCTGCTATGCCCTTTTGTAAAATAAGGTGTTGCACATGCAAGAGAAGATTTTGAAATGTGAAATAAGCTAAAATGAAGAAAGCCAGAAAGGAGTTAATGAAATAAGGTGTATAGTAAAAAATTAGTTATATTATTGACTTTTAGATTTGTTTTTTGAAGCAGATGTAGAACATAAAACAGTACAAATTTGCAAGACCCACAGCTAGCCTTTCTGAGAAAGAATTAAGGGACAGCAGCAACATTTACCCAACGAGTTACATACAATAGTTTTAAATGGTATTTTGAAAAACAGCACATGAATGATTTCTGAGAAATGAAGACTGGAAAATTCCTTTGTTTGTCTCTGTGTTTTGGGGTTTTTTTTAGTAGAAATAAAGAAAAAGTGAACTCTAACACTACTGTAAAGTCACAGGAAACATATTGATTTCTCTAAAAATATCTGAAGTTCTTTGAACTGTAGATACATGTACATTAACCTTTTAGAAAACAAAATAAAGTGAATAAAAAGAAGTACAAGCTCTAATGGTTTGTGATTCATGCACTGACTGATGCACCAGTGTACCATGAGTGTTTACTCTGGGAAGGTAACACATGAACATTATGAAACAAAAATTTTTAAGGTCTTCAAATAAACTGTGGCATGATGTTTAGTTATCTTCTATAATATAGTTTTTCTTCTCTAAATATGAGTCACTGGTGTTGTCTAAAATTTGATTTCCAGATTACACGTAAAATATTCACATGACCAGGTTTTGTTTATGAAAGGGTAATTTAATTCTATTGTTTTTTAAATGTGATAATGTAAAAGGAAAAGAAATATCGTGATTTCTTCCTTTCCTAAGTAGTAAATTTTGTCTGCCTACACAGATTAAACAATTCTAAATGAAAATTAAATAATTCTGCTATTAAATACTACACTGAATTCACTTGGAAGTATGAGAGTGTTGGAGGACAAATTTAGGCAAGATGTCTGTACTTC